GATATTGTCTATGCATGAGGTGTTATATCCATTAAGCAAAGAATGGATTGTCGTGATTGTATTTTCCGGGGAACTTATGTAGGTTAGAGGATTCAATTTTTGAGAAGCTCAAATTCCTTGTAGGAACTTATGATTAGATTATTCAATCTTGGAACTTTTCTTATGGGAGTTCAAGCTTTATAGGAAATTTTTGAGATACCAAATTACCAATTGGTGTAAAATATTCGAAAAATGATATTTTGATTTTTCATGTCCTTGGTTACCTTAGTGGGAAAGTAATATCTTCAATTGGCATGTTTGTTGCATATAGGAGAAGTGGAAACTGTCCAGAATTGTTGCACAATAAGACATCTTGAATCTTATTTTTTAGATGGCACCCAGTCAAGATTATCTTTTGAATATTACAACTGTTTCTGATAATGTTTCCGATGAAAACATGAGACATTCCTTATGTGTATTTTTTATGTCTAAAAAATATTGTTGTTCGTTTGTTTCATGCTTTCAAAATATTATTTTGTGTTTTCATTCTCATGTGACCCTCTCCTTCTATCCAGGCCTGAGCATTTGAACTAAGCACAGGCTAATTTTTGTGTGTTTGGACTCTTTGATTTCATCATCCAAGTTTCATGTCTGATTTTGACACCCAGATTCTTTCTGCTTTTGGTAAATATGTTCCTCCACCCCTTTTCTCTCCTTTTCAAACTATGGTAGATTTGTTTTGTCTAGTTATTTGCTATTTGCTTTTGATCAATTCTAAGAATGTACATGACCCTTTTCTCTTTCCTAAATGATGAAGTAAATGAATATGAATATGGAAAAGTGCAAGGAAGAATATAGAAAGGAAGGATTCTTGTTTACATAAATAAATTTTGGTTTTAATAAAGGAGGGGAGGGAGGGGGTTGGAATGGAGAGTTCTTTTTATTGATCTATATTTTTGGAAGGTTTATATATTCATTGCTTCATGTTGTTCTTTAGATCCCTTTGCTGAGGCAAATGCTAAGGACTTTGGCGCTGGGTCATCAAAAGATTATGTGCACATTCATATACAGCAGTGGAATGGTCGGAAGAGCCTGACAACTGTGCAGGGTTTGAAGAAAGAATTCAGCTACAATAAGATACTTAAAGACCTCAAGAAGGAGTTTTGCTGCAATGGTACTGTTGTCCAGGACCCAGAATTAGGCCAGCTTTGCATTAACCCCTGTTAATATTCTCGTGTTTCTCTAATATTTTTTTCTTGTGGGGTGGTGGGGGTATCGTCTGTACCTCATATTATACTCTATTATCCTTTTGAAGGTTATTCAGCTTCAAGGTGATCAGAGGAAAAATGTTTCTACCTTTCTTGTTCAGGTGATTTACCCTATGGTTTCGACTCTGTTACAGAAGACTTGTGTTTGACTCGTGTTTAAGTCTTTACATTGTGCACCCAAATAAATGGGAAATATAGAAAAAAAAAAGGGTAGTTTTTCTACAGTTCAATAGGTCATAATTTGCCAAGGATACTTTTGATTCTACCTCTCAAATTGAACCTGACAACAAGTCACTAAGTAACTTCTGTCTATGCTAGGAGGGTGGTGGTGGTGGTTTTCTCAATGGTGTTTGATCATTTAACTGTTTTTTTTAAATTATTTTCCTGATTGCTGACTTAGAATATACCATTGCTCTCCATGACATCGTTGAAAGCCAATTACTTACTACTATCACATTGGTGGCACCATTGCCTACTACCCATCCCAACCCCCTAAAAAATTAAAACCAAGAAAAAAACACAAAAATACACTTGCAGATGCACAAAACATTGGTACAACATATCCTTTTACTTCTTGTGTGGATGCTTATATTTAGGGAATTATGGCCCTGCTATTCGTAAGTAGGGTCGTGGTTAGTCATTTGGTGTCCTGGTTTTATGTGTATGTGTTCTTACCTCTTGATACTTCTCCTTTGTTTTTTTCCTTCTGAGAACAGGCTGGGATCGTAAAGAAGGAACACATCAAGATTCATGGTTTTTGAGAAGTAGCAAACCAAACACTACCCAATTACTGTTCACCTCGTGTCAGTGCCAAGCATGCTATCCTAAATGAGATTGTAATTGCTCTTAATATTACCTCTTTATCGTGGTTTGGGTCAAGTATTGTGTCTTTGTGTTGCCCTATAGCCGTTGATTTATGTAGTAAGTTGCATTACAAAGAAGTTGTTGTTCAATTTGTGGGAATTAGAATTGGAGTACAAAGTGCACCTGAAATCTTTGTCTAACATTTGTTCCTGGTCTTATATTCAGCAACAAGGTTCTTCTGCGGCTACTGAAATGGAGACAAAGACTAAAGCTTGATTGCAAAAGATCTATGCAGCTGGTTCTACAGTGGAAGAAAATGTATGAAAACTTGCATCAGTATTGTGTAAATGAGCTTTTGGATGGAGATCAAGCTGGAGGTGCTAGTGGACACTCTTGAGGTGGTTTCCTTGTGCAGCACCTTTACTGTTTATAGGTACACATGATGACCATAACTATGCAACTCATAACTTTATTGCTATGCTTTTTGGAGAATTAGCTTTCTAATATGCATTTAGAGGTGTGTGCACTGTGATTGAAGTGATGCTGATACATCTTCTGGGGTTTTTTATTCTCCTTTTTTTGAGTCACCTAATGGATCAAAGCAAGGTTTTGGAACTAAGTTCACATCCATTATCTCATTTCTAAGATATTGATATGGTCAAAAAGATAATATCTTGTTCATCAATGCACCTAACTCCATGTTTTTCTTCAAATTTCAATTTGTATTTGTTCGGCTCTATGACTCACTAAGCATGCTAGAGTCCACTTGGACTCAGAATTGTCCTTCTAGGCTGGAATGTCTATCATCTCTAGGTGATATCAGGCATGTGGAGCAGTGAAGTTTATAACTGCCTCATAATTTCTAGTACTTCATAATTTCTAATCAAGAGGTTGGATCAATTCAACTTACACAGATAAACAAACATGCCAAGATCTAGAACAATGTAAGTAACAAGTTCACTCCATTAATGAACCAGTTTGTACGCATCATTTCTTTGACAGCCGGCTTGAATATGATCAATTGAAACTAAACTTCTGACTCTCAAATTTGATTTTTTGGGTAAGCATACATTCCATTGCCTAACTTTAATGTTAACATGAGCTATGTGAGTATTAAACATTGTTGCAGCGGCTTGGAGCAAGTAAGCATTACCTTACATCTACTCTAGCTTATAATATTCAGAGTCTAGTTATTATATCATTGAGACTTTTTAACTGTAGCTCTTTCATAGTGGTTGGTTTTGCATCAGGATCAGTCCAGGATCCCTACTGTTCAGAGCAGGAAGGTTGTGTGTGGTAGTCAGTTTGATTATGTAGATCCTGCATACTGTTGAGCTTGGATATGATATTTCAATGCATGGAGCTGGACCGGTTCAAGTTTAAGAAACATTAAATATAATTAGAGATGGTTTAAATTCTCTTCAAGAATTAAAGTTATTTTTTCTATTTTTAGAACTTTTTGTTCTGTGATTATTGTAATTCATTTTTTGTAGAAATAAAATTTTTTTTTTTTTAAAAAGATGTTAAATGTATTAACTATGTTAATTTTTATTGAACACAGGTATTATTGGTGTACAGGTGAAAAATTATATTAAAAAATTATTTTTTTATGTAAAATAAAAAAAAATTACCTTTTTTGCGACGAAATAAAAGTCGTCGCAAAAATTGCAGTACACACCTTTTTCCAACAATTTTTTTTTGTCGCAAATATATTTATTTAATTATTTTTTAGTTTTTTTAATTAAAAATATTATTTGCGACGATTTTTTTACGTCGCAAAAAATTAAAAATATTATTTGACGTAAAAATTACGACGCTTTTTTTACGTCGCCAAAAAATAAATTAAATTATTATATTTCCCATTTTTATTTATAAAAATTTATTTGCGACGATTTATTTACGTCGCGAAAAATTAATTTAATTAATATTTTTAACATTTTTAATTTATGTAAAAATTATTCGCAACGATTTATTTACGTCGTGAAAAATTAATTTAATTAATATTTTTAACATTTTTTTTATTTAAAAAATGTTTTTTCTACCATTTATTTATGTCACAAAAAATTAATTTATTTAATATTTTTAACATTTTTTTTAAAAAAAAAATTTTGCGATAATTTATTTACGTAGCGAAAAATTAATTTATTTAATATTTTTAACATTTGTTATTTAAAACATTTTTTGCGACGATTTATTTGGGTCGCGAAAAATTTAACAAATTATTATTTTAATATTTTTATGCTGGGAATAGGTTTTAGCTACGTTTTTGTAACTTTTGGCGACAAATTTTTTTGTCGCAAAAAATTTTTTTTGCGATAAAATTAAATTTCGTCTCGAAATACTTTATGCGACAAGGCTATTGCGACGAACACGCGACAAAAAAAAAAAGTCGCAAAAAATAATTAGCGACGATTTGTTTACTTTGGCTACGAAATAAATCGTCACAAAAAACGATTTTTGTTATAGTGCACAATAGCACCAGTTTTTACATGTCTGTTGGCCTTACCTTTTTTGAAAAGTATGTATGTACGTAGTTCAAGTTTTCGCCCGATTCACCAAGAAATATTTTGGTTGCTTTTGGCAGATCGCTTACTACTAGATTGGATCAGATGTCAACCTGTGGAGGCACCATTTGTTATTATTGGACAAATTTCTCCTTTTGTTTTCTTCTTGTTCTTTGCCATAACGCCCATTCCGGGACGAGTTGGAAGAGGAATTCCTAATTCTTACACGAATGAGACTGATCACACCTGATCAGTGAAAAATTCTGACACCAAGAATTGACAAGCGGATCAATGTTCTAGTTGGCTATGTTGATATAACTTAGATTGGGACAGATTAAAAAATTACGTAAACAATCAATATTTGCACAAAAACAAAATTTTCTTTCTCGCCATATCGTTGGCTTCAGATTGTGGGGCTTGCTATTTTGCTGATCCCACTTCGGTTATGGCTGTGGGAATTATTGGGGGTGGAGGTGCAATGCCATTGGAGGTAGGGCTTCGTAGTGGAGGTGTGTCACAGGTAGCAAGAGATCTGTGTTTTACACTGTCCTTGAGAGAGAGAGAGAGAGAGAGAGTGGAGAATCTGAAGATGGAGGCGGTGACTGATCGATCTAGGTGGATTTACGGGTTTGGGTATGTATTTCGGGTTAAGAATTCGAATTTGCAAACTGGAAATATTTTCTAACAGGTCTTAAATGCCCCTGTAGTCTCGGTCACGTAATACTCCTATGAATTGATTTCGAGATTTGATTGGTTTAGATGAAAGGTCCACATTTATTCAAATTAAAAGGTTGGGGGTTTAATTGAGATAAACTTTTGTTTAGGGGCCACATTTAAATGAGTGACATAATTTAAGGGCCATTTTACTAAGTTATTCTTATTCTTGTTATATATCTGCAATAAGCAACATCGTAGCATATAAGTATAGAGGCGAACTAGTAAGATTGCTCGAACTCAAAAAATGGAGTGGTCATATAGTTTGCTTACTTGGTCGATTGTTTCTTTGCTAGCAGCTCTTCTTTTGTTATACAGTTGGATGAAAATTGGGAGCGACTCTATTAAACGTAGAGGACGACCACCAGGGCCACCAGGATGGCCGATTGTTGGCAATATGTTTGATCTTGGAACGTCGCCACACCAAACCTTCTATAAACTTCGAGCTGAGTATGGACCTGTCCTTTGGCTAAAGCTCGGTTTTGTAAACACCATGGTCATACAGTCCGCCTATTCTGCAGCTGAATTGTTCAAAAACCACGACCTTTCTTTCTCTGATCGCAAGGCCACTGAATCACTGACGGCCTTAGGCTACAACGAATCAGCTTTGGCTGTTTGCGAGTATGGTGCGTACTGGCGCAGGCTACGTCGTCTCTACACCATTGAGCTATTCGCCAGCAAACGAATCCAGGAATCGGCTCCACTTAGGGAAAAGTGCATTGACAAGATGGTCCGGTGGATCGAGGAGGATTCAATAACATCACGTGCACAAGGAGGCTCAGGGGAAGTAAAGCTAGTTAAGTACCTTTTCCTTATGGCTTTCAACATGGTTGGAAACCTCATGTTTTCAAGAGACCTCCTGCAAATGCAGTCCAATGAAGGAGACGAATTCTTCGAAGCCATGAACAAGTTCATGGAATGGGCCATGAAGCCTAATGTGGCGGATTTTTTTCCATTTTTGAAATGGCTCGACCCACAAAGGATCAAGAGGAACATGGCCCGAGATATGGGACGATGCATGAAAATTATCACTGGATTAGTCGATGAGAGGGTTCAAGAGAAGCAATTAGGAAGAGACGATGTGAAAAACGACTTCTTGGATGTGTTGTTGGCATACGAAAGTGATGGGAAAGAAGGGCCTCATAAGTTATCAGAGTCGACTGTGAATATCATCATCTTGGTAATATGATACTCAGCTATTAGTAGTAACATTTGTTAGTACACTCACGTCATTGTAAAATCCATAAATTCTAGGTAAATCATTAAGTCAAGCTTTAAATGTGCAGGAAATGTTTTTTGGTGGATCAGAAACTACAACCAGCACAATCGAATGGGTAATGACAGAGCTATTACGCAATCCTAGGTCGATGAAAAAGGTCAAAGACGAGCTTGATCAAGCCGTTGGGCCCAATGTAAAAGTAAAAGAGAGTGACACAGATAGACTTCCATATCTACAGGCAGTTGTGAAAGAAACACTTCGATTACATCCAACTGTTCCTTTACTAGTCCCACGGAACACGACTCAAGACACCAATTATATGGAGTATTTCATACCCAAAAACACGCAAGTGTTTGTGAATGCATGGGCTATTGGAAGAGACCCCAATTCTTGGGATGACCCCTTGTGTTTCAAGCCTGAAAGGTTTTTGGACTCTGATATCGATTACAAAGGGCAACATTTTGAGTTGATTCCATTTGGAGCTGGGAGGCGAGTATGTGTAGGCTTGTCCTTGGCTCATAGAGTGGTTAACTTTGCTGTAGCCAGCTTGTTACAATCTTTCGATTGGGAGCTCGATAACAGCATGACTCCCGACACTATGAACATGGAGGAGAGGATAGGAATAACTTTGCGAAAGCTAGTTCCCCTCAAAGCAATACCCAAAAAACTTGCCGGGTGAAGATGAATAGATCACTTAATTTGCAAATGTGATCAAGGTCGTTGCTGAATAAAAAATATCACGACCATGAATAAGTACTGTTTGACGTGCCCTCCTCTTTTTAGTTTTTTGTGTGAACAAAGATAATATTAATCTTTCAAAATGATTGTTGTCATTTATCATAAGCAATTATTCCAAGCTTTCTATGTATTCTTTATAATCCTAGCATTTTTTCTGCATTATTTCATTGTTCTTTAACCTAAATGGCTATATTTGCAGTCTAAAATGTCACACTTGCAGTCTAAAATGGCAGCCCTCCATTTATTCGAAAACATTTCAATTATGAATATTTCGTGATCGATTCAAAACAATTATCACATCATGGTGATCTTTGATAGGATGGGGAGGAAAACTAATAAGAGAATTAAAAAAATTTCTTCTTATGGTTCTGATAAATGAACTTAGCTTAAGCTTCGGCCCCCAATCTTTGTGAGTTTAAAACCTGGGGGGATAAAGTTATACGAAAATTTCAATTTTGGAAAACAATCTAATCAAGCAAGTTGCAATCCTTGTTGAATGTAAAGAAGCATAATTTCTTTATACGAATAATGTTAGATGAACTTAAAAATTAAACTTGATAATCTCAACCATTAAATAGGTAATGGGTCTCAATAAATACTGAGACCCACAGTGAAATTAATGGTTGAGATTATCAAATTTAGTTTTTAAGTCTATTTTTTAAGTCCATATAACATTGTTCTTCTTATACTTAATTAAGGATGTAGACATTTATGGTTTTTTGTGGGGAAAGGGGAAGAAAGTCGTGCACGAATCATTCTTAATCATGCCAAATAAATACAACTGATTTTTGGTTAATTCAGAAGACGAAAAGTCTATGTTGGGATAGGCAAAAAAATAAGGCAATAATATATGAAACTTTTTTTTATTGTCAAAATGATGGCGGTGGCCGAGATTCAGACATGGCGTCTATTCTTTTGTAGCTCCACCTTCACCAATTTGTTAAGACATTAGTTGATCTAGTTATAAATTTTCACTTCTCGGTGAGCGAAAGATTTGTACCGAGGTAGGCTCCATTTTGTTTGATTTTCAAAACTCCGATCACTTCAATCCAAATTATTTTATCATGATGATCCACAAATCAAGTACAATTATCAATACCACCTAACCCACTACAAATCATGGATCACTTTTTTTTATGCATGAAATACCATTTGTAGAGTGATTGGGGATATGTATTCAAAGTTTAAGTCGGCAGAATCCTGTCATTCCAGACTATTTAAAATTTGCTTTCGGCTACAAGCGGGGATTATTGTCCTTTTGCAATTATAGAGATGCTCTTAGGTGGCTGTGTAGGCGATTGGCAGTCCCCACTCCCTAAAGCTTTTGAATGATTTGCTGAAGAACAATCAACTAATCAGTGGTACAGTTTTCCAAGTGCTCTACGGCTATTGATTATTGCAAAGAAAAGGTTCGTTTGGCCATTAAATTTTAGAATAAGTTTATGATACCAAAAAATATTTTTCATTCATTATCCTTAACATTCAAGTTATAAATTTTTTGAGGGTCAATTTATAACTAATTAAGATTGTGATTGATCATAAATATATTTTAAAAAAAAAATTTGAGTTGTAATTTGACCCTAAAAAATTTTAACCCTTGAACGTTGTATTTTTCAATATGGTACACCGTCGCTTTCACAGAGTTTTATTAAGATATATGGAATTTGAGGGTGTTATCACTCTAGCATACCAAATTTTTAGCGTGGTGTCAATCTAGAATATAAAATTTGGTTGTATTATATATTAATAATGATATATGAACAAAATTAAAATATAGGGTTCATATTACTTTTGATCTCTAAAGAATGCACATTTTGTTAGTTTGGTCTCTAGAGTATCAATTTAATCTCTAAAGTATCCGATTCGCATTTAAATGATCCCTAAGTAGATGGACTGTTAAGTTTTTAATGAAATAATTACGTATTGGGTATATGATACCGTCTGAAAAAATGACACATGACCACTTTCGTAAAAAACTTAAGTATGTGTATAATATCTATTTGGTCCCTGATGGTGCTCGAAATTTGTGGCCCAAGCCCAACTATGATAGGATGATGTTGTGAAATGGATTCGCAGGTTATGGATTAATCTTTTATGATCAGTTAGACTTGGAATATAAGTGGTTCACCTTAGCAGAAGGGCTAAGGCTACATCCACTATCAATAGAGTCTCTTGTTCGCTGGGTTTGTATATTCATCGGCCGGCAAAGTGCCTCTTGCAACTTGGGACTCGGAGTCCACTTACAAAGGATGAGTATTTAGGTATTCTCTCTCTCAGATTTCTACATTCTTCGGCTCTCTAATGTTCTCTAATCTTTTTTGGGGAAGATGGTCATCTTTTGGCATGGGTTATCGTTATCTATTTATATTAGCCTCGCTTAGGGCCTTCAGTTGTCCTTTCTTCTGACCCCCTCTTGCTTCTTCTGCCACCACGATCACTGTTCATCCAGCATCCCTGTTCATACGGCGTTGTCGTCGCCATGATCTCTGGTGGCCTGGTCCTCCACCTTCTCTGAGATTGCCGTAGGTGTCAGGGTTGGTCCCCCTGGATGTGTGGTCCCCTCTGCAATCCAAAAATAGCTTGGACTGGACTTTTATTCTCCAAATCGCTTTATGGTTTGGATTGGGCCTGGACTGTTGGGTTATAGGCTTTTTGCCGATGCTGAGTCCTCCTTCTCTGCTCCGAGCCTCTTGGGCTGGTCAGGCTTCTGGACCATCAAAGCCCTGGACTTGAATTTCGTCCGTATTAGTTGCCCCCCAACCCCAGGTCATGAAGATGTTATCATTTCTGGCCTGGGGTTAAAAATGACTTTTCTAAGCGTGTTATGGGCTTTCGAAGTGATCTCCGTTTGTCAGCAATGATGGGATGGTAATGTACACGTGTCACCATCGGGTGAGCTTGTGGATACGACTTTTGTGGCGTGTCCTATCATTTGTTTGTCCTGAATTTAATGCTCCACACAAACATTTACATCCCTTAAAAAGAGGGGGGAAAGGCCTCTTGGTTTTTTATTATGTGGTTCCGAGTCCCACTTTCCTTCGTGCTTCCTTTCCTTTCTGTGCATTCGAAGTGTTTTGATCCAGACTGTTAGGCGACTTACGACATCCTCGTCTCTGGTTCTCTTCTTCCTCTAGCGTTTCACTAGATACGTCCTTTTTCCTTTCTCCTCGCTATTTTGACCTGGATCCATTTAACCCTCCCTGGTGGAGTTTTGGGTTCCGCTTTCTAATCTTGAGGTTTATTTATTTCAGAGAACACTCTGATGACCTTTCTTTCCTTTCACGATACGTAGATCGTTCTTCAGGGGCGAGGGTATCCTTACTTGGGGCTCGGTGTCTGAAATCTTTATTTTTGGCTGATTGTGCCTTGCATTTTCCTTTACTTCATTCCGGTGTGAGATCTGACCTTTTAATGGGAAAATTTGTCGTTTCTTCCTCTTCCGAATCGGAATCCGTTAGTGGGGAGGCCGAGAAGACCACTACGGTTTCCTCTAGTGGGCGTTCTCTTTCTGCCGGCGGCAGAGCCCCTGAGTCCACTCCCGGGGCTTCATCCCCGGTTCCTCCAGCAGAGGCTATACCTCTTTCCGCCCTTCCTCTTAATTCTCTGGCTCAACCGAAGAAGAGGAAATCTAGGCCGACCCCCCTCCATTTCTAAAAAATGAATTCGTCGTGAGCCTTCTGACCTGACTTGTTGTGCGAAGGGGACCTCTAGCTGTCTTGGTGATGAAGATTTGGAGGAACTGAAGCGTGAGTATCGCTTTCCTGATTTCGTGGAATTACTTTCCCCGGGGAGCATGACAGGTGTAATTCTATTCTCCCTGGATTCACTTGCTTCTTCGAGTCTGCATTCTGGGCTGGTCTTCGATTTTCTATCCATCCTTTTATCCAGAATATTCTTGAATTTTACAATGCCTATCCAGCCCAGCTATCTCCCAATGGTTTGGGCTTCCTGGTTGGTTTCCTTGTCCATTGGTTTGAGAGTGGGAACCTTCCCCTTCCCTCTATACGAGAATTTACTTTCCTTTCTCAGTTGAAGTATTCTCCCTCCTCAGGTTTCTTGTATTTTGCTAAATGGCTAAAGGCGAAGACTCTAATCTCCAGGCTTTCATCTTTCAATAAAAGATGAAAACTAAGGTTCTTTTTTGCTAAGGGCGATTCCTGGGAGTTGTCAGGGGAGCCCGGCGATGTTCCTCGCGTTCCAAGATCATGGGGGGTCCCAAGGAACACTCGTAAGGCTAATCTACCGGTCGTGTTCCTTTGTTATCTTCTTTTCTCTCTTTTTTTTTTGTTTCTAACTTTTGACCTGATTTGCAGAATTCTGCCCGGTACCCAGCACGGAGGAGGCGGCCCGAATTGTTAGAATTGAAGCCTTTGGGTTGAAGGATTTCTTTGACTTAGTGCCTAACGAAAATCTCGCTAAACACGGACTAGGACCGCCCATTATCCGAGCTTTAGAGGTTGCACTACCTTCTGCCTCC